CTGTTGGTATACTTTTCTATCAGCGACTCTTTGTCCATCCCAGTGTGTTTTCCTCTTTGGATCTCTGAGGGGCTCCTGTATTGAGAGACAAGTTTATCCCCCCTCTTCCCGGCAACCAGCTTTCTCAATTGATTTCAGAGAGGGCCAGGCCTCATCAACCCTTTAGAAAGTTTTTGTGTCATTATGCACTCAAGACAAGTGTCTCCTTAGCTGATATTTTCCTGAGTTCATACAACTTTTGCTTAAATAGTGAAAGTTCTAAGATGAATCTGTGTCCATCCTCTGATATAGAAGCAAACTGATGCAATTTAAAAACCTTACCCAATAGGTGCTCAGTGACAGTAGAATTTTTTGGTGAAGCCGGGTGTGGTAGTGCACATCTGCGATCTTAGCACTCTAGAGGTAGAGGCAGGAGGGTCAACCTGAGCCACATTGTGAGATCAAGGCCAGCCTGAGCTACATAGTGTGACATAATATGTCTAAAAAAAAAAAAAAAAAAGGGCCAGCCAAATAGTTCCTCGAATTAAAGCGCCTGCAAGCAGGTGCAGGGGCTGGGGTTTGATCCCCTGGCCTGCTGTGCTGGCCCCACCCCCAGAGCACCCTGAGAGGGCAACTGAGACTGGGCGTGGTGGCATGTGCCTGTAATCACAGCTCTTGGGAGGCTGTAAACAGGAGGATCACTACTAGTCAGATCTAGTAGTGAGATCCTGAACACCTTATAAACCCTTCCCTAAAATACAAAAAAAGAAAAACAAAACAGAAAAAACCCACCCAACAACAAAAAAAACCCAAACCTGATTTTAGGAAGTGGATGTGTCTCAATTTAATAAAAATTTGGAGACAGGGGCTGGGAAGCTGGCTCAGTGGAATAAGCGCTTCCCTGGCAAGTGCAAGGTCCTAAATTCAATCCCTGGTTCCGCAAAAAAAAAAAAAAAAAAAAAAAAAAAAAAAATTGAAGATAATTTTGGCTATTGGGTTATAAAATTTTTTCAAGCAAAATAATAATTGTCCTAAAATACATATTGTAAGCCCTCAGAATTTAAAAATATTTAAAACATGATAATTATTCCAAATTAGATTTCCTTTCTGTTTGTTTTCTAAATTTATCCTAATGATTAAGAAATTACATAATCTAAAAGTAAAACAAGGGCTGGGAATACAGCTAGAGGACACGGCACCTGTCCACAAGGACCAGGTCCTGAGTCCAATTCCCAGTACGCCCCCACCAAATAAAAAGTAAAATGAGCCAGGCACAGGGCCACAGCTTGAAATGCCATCATTTAAGATGACAGAGGCAAGAAGATTACAAGTACTGCCCAGGCAATTTAGCCCAGACCCTGTTTCATATAAAGTAAAAACAAACAAAAATAGCTGGGGACATAGAGGTAGTTCAATTCCAGGGGTGCATAAGTAAACAAACAAACAAACAAACAAGAAATGTCAAAGTCTTTGTATGGATAATTTTTGTTTTTTTTCTGGCATGGTTGACTTTAATGATAAAGTTCCAAGTTAGAATGACAGAGAGAAAGAAAATGCTTGCATGCACACAAGCAAGCCCTTGGGTCTCCACAATAATATTGTTGGTTAGTATAAAATGAAATTGGGTGGGCTGGGGGTGTAGGTTAGTGGTACAAGGGCTTGCTTTGTATCCACGAGGAACTGGGTTTTATACTTAGACCAAAAAAAAAAAAAAAAAAAAAAAGAAAGAAAAAGAAAGAAAGAATTAAAGTAAATGGTTGCTTTTCAATAAATGTGATATTTTTGTGATTCACTGAAATAAGAAAACCAAAACTTTCTTCTTCTTTTTTTAATAGCTAAGACTTTACCAAAGCTATTGGGAGGCTTGAGATCTTCAGGGGGTTAATTTATGAGGATAGATTCAAGCTACCTGTGGCCTTGGTAAACCGTAGTTGTCACAGTAGGCCCTGGAGTCCTGCCGTCCGCTCTCTTCCTCCCAGCAGCTCGGGAGCTCGCTGCGTGTTTTAGCAAGCGCCCCCCTACCCCCCCATTCGTGAAATAAAGCTTCAATGCGGTGATTGTCGCTGAAGGACGTTCCCGCAGCCATCAGGTCTGCGGCGGGGATGGCACGCCTCGACCAGCAGGGGGCGGAGCGCCACTGCGCCTCCGGCCTCCTCCCAGCCGCTGAAATCGTTTCCTGCGTCCTCAGGAGGCCCTTACTGTGATTGTGGGCTCCATTTTAAAATCAATCACTTGGAGATTTACTTCTTTCATTATTTTATTCGTGTTATAATACAATTTTATACGCCTTATCCTATTAGTGACACACTAAGGTCTTGTTGGAAAAGCAAGTACAGAAAGCAGTACAGGTTGTGTGTTCCTGCAGTCACAGATTTTGTTTAAGGCTGATCAGAACCCAGCTGTGCATCATTCTTTCATTCTACGAATGAGACACATCCACTTCCTAAAATTAGGGGGATTTGTGAATCAGAATCCGATCTACCAGTTGATTGGGGTTCCATTCGAATTGGGGTAGCTGAACAGCCCCACCTGGGAACCGGCCCAATCACAACTTGGTTGGATTTTTTCAGCAAAGAAAGCCAGACTTCTGGGAAAGGGCAAATGTTCTCTGGGTTTTAATGCCAGCCCTACTCTTTCTTGAGGAGAGAGATCAAAAAAATGTTGATGATTCCTTGTAAGACTGCGTACTTGCTCTTTTGTATTAGAAAAGAAAGATAAGGACAAAGTTTGTTTATTTCTTGGAGAGACAGAGACACACCCGCTCACAGCCCTTGCCACTGACAGTAAACATCAGGAATGACCACACCATCACCATTCGCCCTTCTGTGCCTCAAACTGCCCCTCTCCAAGAAGACGGGCAAAGACTGGGCTGAGGGGATGCTCCTTCCAATAATAATCAGGCCTAAAATTTGCATTTGAAAGGTACAAGAGGGAACATTTTCCTTCTTTGGAAGAGGGGCACTCCCTAAAGGCAGACTGGCAAATCAGCCCTCCTTTTAAGAACAGCTAGAAAAGCTGCTAACAGATGCATTTGAAGGTGAACTACCCTGCGGCAAAGATTTGAGGGCCACAACCTTGGAGAGAAGGGTTAGCAGGACTTTGAACTTTGAGGCATTTGTTTCTCTCAAGAAGCATAGAAGCTTCCAGATGCCTTATGCAAGGGTACAACCCTGAAATTTAGTGCCAACAAAGAGGAAGAGCCCAAGGAATCACCTCAGGTTCTCAAGTGGGACTTCCAAAAGGGTTACAGTTCAGGAGAAGGGGTAAAAATGGAGAAATCTCACACAGACAGAAAGCCAGATTCCAACCAGCACAATGTATGATTGGATTAAGGCCAGGTTTATTCACCCCGGTGCTACTGCCCCTCACAGTGATATTTGCAGATGGGTAATTCTCTGCTGCAGACTGCCATTTGCATTCTAGAGTGTTTCTGCAGCATCCTTAGCCTCTAGCTTCTAGATGCACAGCCTCTGCCCCAAATTCTGACAACCAAGTGTGCCCTGGTGGGCAAAATCACCTCTGGTTTAAACCAACATTTTAATGGTATCTGGCAAATGCAAAAACAAACCTTATTATCTTTCAGATTCACAAATTATAATTTTTCATACATGTCTAACACCTAATACACAACACAGAGAGCTATCTGGAGTAACTAGAGCTAAAATATGGACAAAGCAATAGTGGGGAAGAGACAGGGGCCAGGATGTGTCTCTAGGGCTCAAGGTGAGGCCTTTTGCCAACTGTGATTGATAAGAGGGAGCTCCTGAAAGCTACTGATCAGAGAGGAGGCGTGTGACATACATGAACACAGTAGGTAAGACCGTGACTTGTCCTTGACTCCTGTCTTCACTAGGACTAAATCAAAGGTCAAGGTGGAATGGGATGAGGAGGATGGAGCTTGAGACTAGAATTCAAGCTTGTGGCACATACAAGTCCTCAGATTCCATCTTCTTTGACTCTCAGGGCCTGGGAAGATTAGACATTTGCCCTGACAGATGGCCAGAGCTTGGTAGCTGATATCTTGCATGGATGGACAATTTCTTAGTTGTTATGTTTGAAGCAATTTCTTTCAAAATTCTTTCCCTTGGCTCCTTGAGCTGTATTTTCAGGCATCTTTTAAATTGTATTTTTGAAAAAGCATAATCACTATATATATATATATATATATATATATATATATATATTTTTTTTTTTTTTTTTTTTTTTTTTTCAGAACCAGGGATTGAACTCAGGCCCTTCTGTTTGCCAGGGAAGTGCTTATTCCACTGAGCCATCTCCTTGGTCCCATCACTATAGATTTTTTAAAAAAATATTTACTTATGTATTTGGTACAGGGTCTCACTATGCAGTGGCATGGGATGCCAGGGATATAACCCTGGTCCTGCGCTTGCCTAAGCAGATGCTTAGTCCACTGAGCTATCTTGCTGGCCAGACATTTTTTTTTTTTAAACATTGACTCCTTACAGCTGGAAGGGACTTTGGAACTATTTGACATAGCCATTCCATTTTCAGATGTAGACATCAGCATCCAGAGATGTTAGGTGACTTCCCCACAGGTAATGACAGATCTCAGAATAAACCTGATTAAGATGGACATGTGACATTGTTGTCTGCTCACCGTTGTTCTTTCTGCTGACAGAAGAACCTCAGTTTTGTTTGAGAAGCCTCTGATCTTCCCCCCTCAGCCTCAGTGGCTCAAATGGGGCTGACCTCCACCATCCGCGTACCATTTTGCAGGCTGGCTAGTCAGAACCCAACACCAGCCCCGTGGCTTTCCCTGAAGTTATGAGAAGTTGTCTTTTTCTGGAGCTCGCCAAGTGGTAGAAGGGCCCCAATCTCCATGCAGAGAAAGCCTAACCTTAAATGAAGTCAACCAGAAGAGCATATTGCTGGTAGGTGGGGAGAACAACCTATGAACCTGTGGATCCAACCAGGTCTGAAAGACATTGTACTAGTCATTTTCTGCTACTGTAACAGGAGGAAGAAAATAAAGGAGGCCGGATACTTTATAAAGTAATGAAATACTTACCTGGCAGGGGAGATACCATGATCACAAAGGGGCTTTTCCCAGGGTGAGGCTTGCCCACTGCATTTTGGATGTGCCTACGCCTGAGATTTTCTCAAATGTGGGAAACTCAAGTGCATAATTTGTGGTAGTGAGGGACTGCGTTCATGCGCTCGTTTAAAACAATAACGAAATTTGTTTAGAGCTGGGAATAAAGCTCAGTGGCTCAGTGCCTGCCTGGCAAGTGTGAGATTCTGAGTTTGATTCCCAGTGCAAAAAAAAAAAAAAGTTTATTTAGCTCACTTTTTGGAGGCTGAAATTCCAAAATCTGTGTGTTTCACCAGTTTTACTTCTGACAATGGCCCCTTGACTGTGTCACGATATGGGGGAGAAACAGAATAGAAAATAAATCCATTCAGAAGCAGCGAAGCGTATGCGATGCCTCACATTAAATCAACCTATTCTTGAAGTCGCTGACTCACTCTAGCAGACCTCCGGACACTGCCTCGCTGGGGACCAAGCTTCCAGCGCATGAACTTTTGGAAGACAAACCAGAACAGATACCTCCCTGGGCTTCGCAGTGTGTGCACTCATACCGCACATTTTCATATTTGCTTTCTGCTGTGTTTCATTTGTAATTGTAAGTGTCTGAACTAGCATGCTTCTGACAGGCATGCCTTTCTTTTCCGACCCACAAGTGTTAATCCTTGGTTTCCGTAGCAGCAGGGTCACTTAAATCTGACACAGTCCCCCTCCCTCCCCTTTTAGGGTTGTCATCTGCCATGGGGAGTCTCTTTGAAGGATGGCTGTGGCAACGAAGTGTGAGAGAGGCTCTGCACCAAAGACCGGAGTCTTGGTTTCTCAAGACTTGGGCTGCATTTCTCTGAGAATCTCACTGGATTTCTACTGTGACATTTCTCACAGAAACAGAAATTATGCATTCAAATGAGAAACCAAGGTGATTCAGTTTTTGAGTGATTCTGTGATTAAGGTGATTCTGTGTTTTCGAGTGTGTGTACATATACGTGTAGATATATTATTATACATGTATGTGTATGTGTGTATACATGATGACATAGATTTGTGTGTGCATATATGCATATATGTATATACTGATTTTAAAAGCAATTATTTTCACTTAGGTGAAAATCAAGAAGGCAAAAAAATATGTAGAGAACAATTTCTCCTATAATGCTAACACCCAGGAATAATTAATAGTATTCTATTTCCCTTTGGTACTTTATAAAATTATCACGTCATGTGTTCAATTTTGAGTATTGTTAACTAAAAAGGCAAACTTGAAGAGAGGATTAACAGCATTTGCATTGTGTATATTTGTGTGTGTGTCATGTGTAAACATTCTCAGTCTGGGAAATATGTCAAATCATACAGATTTTCTCTGGAAATAAAATACAGAGAACTCGAACTTTGCAATTTTTCTAGTTTTGTATGCTTTAATGTTTTGGGGAAAACTGTGGGTTTCTTTTGTGATGATGAAAGACAAAGACCGATTTCTTCAACTCTGATTCTTTATTCCTTGTTTACTGTCATACACACAGATGAAAACTGCCATTTATTGTTCCAATTCATTTTTTAACCCACTAGTTATTTGATTGAAGTAAGCTGTATCAGTGAGCATAGGCCTCTGAATGACATGACTAGAAACATAATATAAACATAACCAGCTCCATATTTGAAGCTCCATGGTACGGCTGGATTCTGCTAGAGTCCAGCCTTAAGCAGTCACAGATGGTGGTGAAATGCCTTCCAGAAGTGACTGGGTAAGTCTGTGAGGCATTTGACATGGTCTGTCATGCATTGAACCCATGCTTTTAACGGGCTGATGAAAAAAGCCTGGCCTATGAAAACAGCAAAGTAATACTACAGCTCTTCCCTTATGAAGGAGACAGGAACAGAAGAGGCAGCTGAGAGGAAACCCATTCCATCTTGGCTAATGCCCAGTACTCTGGCCTCATGGGCTCTATTTCAGATCCCATCATCCACCTCTTCTGAGACCTTGATAAATCAGATGTCCCAGCTCCCTTATGTGCAAATTTCTCCCTTTCTAGACTTATTCCCAGCAACATTAAAATATCTTTAAGTGGCTCTCATTACTCTGTTTGGTTGTTATCTCATCTCTCTCCTTCCTTGCAAAACCACCTTCTTTTTCTGGTGATACTGACGGTTAAATTCAGGAAGTACTAAGCTACATTCCCAGTCTTTTTTACTTTTTTTCTTTCTTTCTTTTTTTTTTTTTTTTTCACAGTATGGGGGATTGAACCCAAGATCTTTGCATTGAACTATATCCCCAGCCTATTCTTTTTTTTTTTTAATTTTGAGACACAATCTCCATAAATTGGTAGGTTGCACAGGCTAGACTTGAATTTATGATCCTCCCGCCTCAGCCTCCCAAGTATCTGTAATTACAGGTATGCACTACTACACCAAGCCTCTGTGCTAATTTTCCCACTGCCTGTTTTGCTGGAGATCCTTTGGCATAGAGATCCAACTGGCGAGCTCAAAAAGGCTGTTTCTTTTAGACTTAAACTGGCAGCTACCTGGCAATCTAGAGACAAGACACTAAGCACAGCTGGCCACACAGAAACTTACAACAGGGACTACAAATCCATCAGGATCAGAAACCTCTCTCTTCTACCCTCTCCTCCCTCAATTCTCTCTGACAATCTGTCTCTCTCCATCTCTCTTTACCCATCTGGCACCATCCCATGATAGCTACTGCAGCTCCAGGCAATCGCAGGATTTGAGTTCATCTCCCACTATCAACAGATTGAAGCTCTAGAGAGAGATGGAACCTAATTAGCCCAGTGATTCCTTCAAGGGAGGAGTCGAGTCTCAGGGTTCCTGACTTCTATTATAGGCTGTGGCTGTTGATGGGCGCAGGATCAGAAACAAGGCAGCTTCCCCTAGAAGGGGGGTCAGAGCAGGAGAACAGCCCATGAGAAGCATCTTTGTGTGCCTCTTTTTCACTCCTCCACCCACAGCAATGGGCTTGTGCTCATCAGCCCGGAAGCTGCTCTCATTGTGGCTATAAACAACGTCTATCCAATGGATGACATTAATTTCTTTCTGTGTACAAATATTCAGTGGCTTTTCAAACTGCCCTTTTCCAATAATCTCTATGGAATGTATATTCCTTAGCTGTTTCTTTTTCTTTAAATCACTATTTCTCTTTTCTTAAAAAATTATCATCATCTCACAGGTCTGTCCTGTTACAATTCTGTATATGGCTAGATTTCTAAATTTCTTTGTCAAAATATGTAAATGCTTATTTCTACTTCTATGAAATTATTTTTCCTTCATATTCTGTAAGGACTTAAAGTTCAGCATATCAATATTTGATGGAAAATACCTGTTCCATGATATGCCAAAGATGTTTGATTTTTAGACAGATAGGGTAAACCGAACTGCATATATTGCAGGTTAATAATTAGCTTCTCTTCTGGAGGGTTAACAACCTAAGTCAGCAGTTCAAAATTGGAGTAAAGGGAGGGCTGCAAGGTCAGCCAACATTTTGGCCCTAGCCTTTCAAGGCCAGTGAAGACTCAGGACATAGGAGAACCTGTACTTTAACAACATGTAACTCCAAATTTTCTGATCAAGAAGATTATGGAGGGCCGGGGAGATGGCTCTGTGGAATAAGCACTTCCCTGGCAAGTGCACAGGACTGAGTTCAATACCCGGTTCCGCAAAAAAAAAAAAAAAAAAAAAAGAAGAAGAAGAAGATTATGGAGCCACACAGGAATGTGACTGACGATGTATAGTGTGCTTGGGGAGAGTCACAGGGAGAGAAAAAACATTCTCTCAGGCTTTCACAGAGAACAAAATGGTCAAGCAATGGCCGTGACTTATCCTCATGGCTGACACTGACAAAAGGATCTACAAAGTGCGGTACAGGGCTACAGGATAAATCCTGAGGATACTTGACTGACCTTATCAGATACAAAAGTTACATTTCTTGCTATATAGGTCTTGCTTTATCTTGGTCTTAACCATCCAGCAGAAAAGTATAAAAATGAGGTATATAAAGTAAATCCAGAGCCGCCATCTTGGGTCCCCGCGTGTGTGCGCCTAATCTCAGCTGGTCTGCCCGAGACCCCCTGAGCGCCAGCCCTAGTCCCCCGTGCTGCCCCATATCCGCTCTGACAAGATGAAAGAAACTATCATGAACCAGGAAAAACTCGCCAAACTGCAGGCACAAGTGCGCACTGGTGGGAAAGGAACTGCTCGCAGAAAGAAGAAGGTGGTTCATAGAACGGCCACAGCAGATGATAAAAAACTTCAGTTCTCATTAAAGAAGTTAGGGGTAAACAATATCTCTGGTATTGAAGAGGTGAATATGTTTACAAACCAGGGAACAGTTATCCACTTCAACAACCCAAAAGTTCAGGCATCTCTGGCAGCAAACACTTTCACCATTACAGGCCAGGCTGAGACGAAACAACTGACAGAAATGCTACCCAGCATCTTGAACCAGCTTGGTGCAGACAGTCTGACTAGCTTAAGGAGACTGGCTGAAGCTCTGCCCAAACAATCTGTGGATGGAAAAGCACCGCTTGCTACTGGAGAGAAGGATGATGATGAGGCTCCAGATCTTGTGGAGAATTTTGATAAGGCTTCTAAGAATGAGGCAAACTGAACTAAGTCAGCTTCTGAAAAAGATCAAACTTGGAAGAAATTACTGGGAGCTGCTATTTTATATTATGACTGCTTTTTAAAATTGTTTTTGTTTATGGATCTGATAAAATGTAGATCTCTAATATTTTTTAAGCCCAAGCCCCTTGGACACGGCAGCTCTTTTCAGTTTTTGCTTACATACAATTCATTCTTTGCAGCCAATTAAGCTGGAGAAGCCTGGGAATAAAGTTTGAAACACATTAAAAAAAATAAAGTAAATCCATATTAATACGATGAGCTGTAAAAGGCTCAAGTCAATAACTTCTGAGGATAACCCACTAATATTGTAGATTGCTAGACAGAGTTAGATTGTTAGCTGAATCCAAACACCTATTGTATTTAGATGACAATAGAATATTCACCTCTGACAGGACGAAACAAAAAAAGGGGGGATACAAAGGAAAGATCATTTTGTATTTATATATACAAAATAGGATAGATATATAGCTACTTTCACTTAATTTAATGAGAAGAAAGAGGTGTAC